TTTCAGTACAGTCGTGGAGTGGGTCCCCAAGATTGGGACCTGGCAACAGCGTGGCTGGGTTCAGGGCCGTTGGTACCTGGAAGGTGATCCTTGGCAGACTTAGGAGCAGAACCTGATAATGAGTTAATCGGGCATTGCTCAACCATTGATGGGGGGGGTTGCTTGAGCACCCCCTCGAGGGCATGAGGGGTTGCCACAGCAGGTCCTGTCCCAGGGTTAACTTGTTAGCATCCTTAAACAACAGGGCCACTGCTGCTATAATTTGCAGGCAGGGGGCCATCCAGCTGCTACAGGGTCTGATTTCTTTGATAGGTATGCAATAGGTCTCTTCCAGGGGCCTACTCTCTGGGTGAGGACCCCTTTCATAATACCTTTATGTTCATCCACATATAGACAGAAAGGTTTACTTATGTCTGGTAGTCCTAGGGCAGGGGCCTCTAAGAGCTTACATTTTAGGGTTTCAAAGGCCTCTTGCCTTTCCTGAGTCCACTTGAAGTCCTGTCCTTCTTTGGTAGCCTCATATAGGGGTTTTGCAATTTCAGCAAACCCCAAAATCCAGAGGCAGCAGAACCCCGCGGTACCCAGGAATTCCCTCACCTGTTTTCTGGAGGTCGGTGCAGGTATCTTTAGCACAGTCTCTTTGCAGACCTTAGTCAACCACCGCTGCCCCTCCTTGAGGATGTACCCTAGGTAAGTCACTTCTTACAGACATATCTGAGCTTTTTTTGCTGAGGCCTGGTATCCCAAGTCCCCAAGTATGTGGAGTAAGTCCTCTGTCCCCTCCAGGCAGGACTTCTGGTCCGGTGCCGCAATCAATAAGTCATCTACATATTGTAACAGGCTTATGTCGGGGTGTTGGGCTCTGAACTCACCCAGATCTTCATGCAGGGCCTCATTGAATATAGTTGGAGAATTTTTAAACCCTTGAACTTCTGGTACGGTGCCATGATCAATAAGTCATCTACATATTGTAACAGGCTTATGTGGGGTGTTGGGCTCTGTACTCACCCAGATCTTCATGCAGAGCCTCATCAAATATAGTTGGAAAATTTTTAAACCCTTGAGGCAGTCGTGTCCAGGTCAGCTGGCCACTGATTCCTGCCTCCAGATCATGCCATTTGAAGGCAAAGTAGGGCTGACTGCTGGGAGCTAGTGGCAGGCTGAAGAAGGC